TAATGACAGAAAACTTCCCCTACCTGGGGAAAGAAATAGACTTACAAGTCCAGGAAGCACAGAGGGTCCCAAACAAGAGGAACCCAAAGAGGCCCACAGCAAGACACATCATAATTAAAATGCCAAAGGTTAAAGACAAAGAGAGAATCTTAAAAGCAGCAAGAGAAAAGCAGTTAGTTACCTACAAGGGAGCACCCATACGACTGTCAGCTGATTTCTCAACAGAAACTTTGCAGGCCAGAAGGGAGTGGCAAGAAATATTCAAAGTGATGAAAAACATGGAACTACAACCAAGATTGCTCTACCCAGCAAAGCTATCATTTAGAATTGAAGGTCAGATAAAGAGCTTCACAGATAAGAAAAAGCTAAAGGAGTTCATCACCACCAGACCAGCACTACAGGAAATGTTGAAGGGGCTTCTTTAAGAAGAAGCTAATGAACAAAAGAATCTGATGAACTAAATAGATCCAGAGACATTGACACATGCAACAGACGATCATATTTCAGAGGAAAGAGGGAAGGGGGGTGGAGGGTGGGAAGAGATTAACCAAAGAAGTTATATGCATATATGCATAACCCATGGACACAGTCAATAACAGGGTGAAGGCCTGGGGAGGGGGTGGGAGTGAAGTGGAGGGGGTCAGTTGCAGGGGAAAATGGTATACCTGTAATACTCTCAACAATAAATTAAAACAACAACAACAACAACAAAAAACAATGGAAGAAATATCCTTGAGTGAGGATTAACAAACAAAAAGATCTCAAAGCAATAACCTAACCTTTCATCTTAATGAACTAGAAAAAGGGCAAACTAAACCCAAAGCAAGTAGAAGGAAGGAAATAATGAATATTAGACTAGAGATAGAGAATCCAAAAAACCCAAAAGTTGGTTCTTTGAAAAGATCAACAAAATTGATAAACCTCATGTTCATTCAACTTAAACTAATCTTACTTTTATTCCCACCACTCCATTGAAACTTGCACTTGCCCAATCCAAGGGCCATTGCTATTCTCAACTTGAATCCTGATCAGCACCTGACACATTGGAGCATTCCCTTCTTTATGGGGCTCTTGTGCCAGCCTCCTGGTTTTCCTCCCTCAATACCCGGTCTTTTCCATCTTCTTTGCTGACTTCTCTCCTTAGTTTGCTCTCTAAAGCTGGAGCCCGAGGACTCTGTCTCGGCTATCATCAAGCTCTTTTAATGTGACCACATCCCATGGCTTTTAATAGCATCTCTAGGCCAATGAACTCCCAAACCTGATCTCCAGCCCTGCCAAGGCCCTGAACTCTAGACTTAAATCCCAACTGCTTTTTGGTCACATCTACATTGGCATTTCACACTTTATATGCTAGGTCAATGGCACTATTGTTTTTCCAGTGGCACCACCTACCCAACTGCTCAAGCTAAAATTCTAGGAGTTACTATTTCAAATCCAATCAACAATCAAATGCTGTCATTGTCACTCTAAATTCTGAATGTGTCCACTTCCACATTATTTCCACTACTGCCATCCTAAGCCAAGTTATCACCATCCTTTACATTCATTTCTGCAATAGCCTTCTTAGATCTAGCAGACTGGCTCTCTCAAGCACCATTTTATCCACTAATTGGAGAGGTTGGAAACCTAAAAACATGTCCCAGGGACACTTATATGTACAGTTCTGGGTTGGAATCAGACTGCCAATTCAATGCACTAGCACAAAGTTTATAAAGAGAAGCAAGACAGAGACAGTCTTCTATTGGGGTTGCTATTGGGAAGCAAGGTCACAGAGTGCAAGTGTTTGAAGTTCTAACAGGTGGACACGGTATTCTAGCGTCTGGCCAGCTTCGTGGAATGAGCAAAAGTGTCAATGGTGGCAGGCTTCCTGAACTCTGGATTGCAGCTACATGGGTGTCCTTCAACTCCAGTCCAGTAGCAGTTCCCGTGACTACCACTAATCTAGTCCTTTGCATTGATTTTAACCCCTCCTGGTTTTAAATTCCTTTCTGATACCTAAAGTGGTTTCTGCCTTGGCACTCATATACCAAGTAGATGCAGATATACCTATTTTACTCGCCTATGACCCATTCTCCAACCGAGAATTCCCTTAATGTAAATCACATTATGTCACCTTCTGTTTAAAATTCTCCAGCGGTAGCTCAGCTAATGTGGCTCAGCAGTTGAGCATCGACCTATGATCCAGAAGATTGAGGTTCAATTTCTGGTCAGAGCACAAGGTTATGGGCTCGATCCCCAGGAGGGGGCCTGCAGGAGGCAGCAGACCAATGACTTTCTCATCATTGATGTTTCTCTCTCTCTGAAATTAATAAAGACTTTTTCAAAAAAATACTAAAAAAATAAAATTCTCATGGCTTCTCACCACACTTAGAATACAACTCAAACTTTTATCGTGGTCAAGCCCTAACAATCTGGCTCTGCCTACTTCTGTGGTAGCACCCAGCCACTGGCCTTCTCTCGATTATAGATTAGGCCAAGCTTTGACCAGGTCTTTCCTACATGCTGTTCCATCTTCATGGAATGCTCCTCCTTCTTGTTCTTTACATTTTCATGTAGTTCAGATTAGATGTTACCTTCTTAGCAACCCCCTGCAAAAAGCCACCCTATCTTATTTTCTCTGCATAAGTATTTTACTGGTATCTACTGTTGTTGTTCACTATTGACTGTCTCCTCCAAGAATGTATGTACCATGGAAATAGGGAGGAACTTGTCTACTTACAGCAGATCCAAGACACATTATAGATGCTTAGTCAATATTGGAATGAACAACTTGGGTTAAATCTGTAAGGTGAATTCTACTTCTATTAGAGTTACTCCAATGTGTTAGCAAAAACTACAAATTATTCTTAAACTAGGTTGAAGATAATAGCGTTTTACCATCTGGACATGAGTGATGGGATAATAAATTGTTTTGGTATGTGTTAATTCAACTTTGTGCTCTGATGGGAATTTTAAAAACCTGAAAACAAGTCCTTTTTAACACTTCAGCTGGAAGAACTGGCTATCCAAAAATCACTTTTTAAAATGTGACTTAGGGGTCAAGGAAGAATAATATTAGTGGGTAGATTTCACTCAGGGTAACTGCCAGTTTTTCTAAACTACTCTGGACTCTTAAAATATCACACTATTGCCTTTTAAGGGTAAATGAACTATAGTTATTTTTCTCTTAATGCTATGTTAGCTGCATCTGCTGTATCTGGGGGCCTCGCACTTGATAGTCTTGGAGAAACAGCACCATCTGCTGGGCAAAGGCTGCTGTGCATCTGTCTTGGCATTAAACCAGTGGCTCTCAAGCTTCCCTTGTGCAATTCTAAGCGGGACACCAGTTATGCGTAGCAACTACAGCCAGTCTTCCAGAAGGCCAAACAGGAAACTCTGCTATACCAGAATTGCTAGTAAGATTAGAGAAGCCCCTTTGTCTGAGGCATCTCTTCTAAGAAACTTGGGTTTTGATTCAAGATTAGAAATCAGTGCCACTGTGGGAAAGAAGAGCACAACTGAGGTAGATCTGGATTAACAAAGAGAAATAAAAGGGCCACAACTTCAAGAGGCCTTTGTCCCCTGTATGCTCTGCAAACAGGATGCTGAGAAAATTTAGTGCCTCGGCAAACAGGATGCTGTTCTCTCTTTCAAAATTTGAGAGTGAGATTTTTCCTCCTTCCCTTACTAAAGAGCACAAATTTATCTGGATTTACCTCTTAGCTCACTACCCACTTTCTAGGAATTTTTCTTCCTTCATGACCAGTCTCCTTTACAAATTCAAGAATCTTCCTAAGATCCTTTCCTATCACATTGTGAATGAGTTTCTTAGGATCTAAGAAATAGCCCCCTCACCTTTTCCCCTTCCTTCCACACCCTTCTCTGACAAACTGAATTTGATATTGCAACTTTCTCTTACTTTCTGAATCTATTTCTGTCCTCAATTACTCAATATAAACTAGTTTTTCTGGTAACCCTTTTATCATGGAAAGTAAGTGCTTGTTGCTGTAGACTAAATTCTGTGTCCCCCACAAATGTATATATTGGAGTCTAACTCCCAAGGTGACGTACTGGGAAGTGGGGCCTCTGGGAAGCCTTGGCAGAACCCTCATGAAAGGGATTAGTGCCCTTATAAAAAGAAGCCCAAAAAAGCTCCTTCATCCCTTCCACCATGGGAGGTTACAAAGAGATAACTGGTCTATGAGGAAATGGGCTCTCATCAGACATTCAAGTTGCCAGCAACATGATGTTGGACCTAGCCTTCAGAACTGTAAGAAATAAAATTCTGTTGTTTTTAAGCCACCAAGTCTCTGGTACTTTGCTATAGCAGCCTGAATCACTAAGACACCTCTCCACCTCAATTCTCCATTGGCTAGATACTGAAAACCCTCCTTTTCCTTAAATTCCTTTCTAATCTAGACCCTGGTGCACAATTTTCTCTCATTTCTTCCTTACTTTTCTAATTATTCCTTCACTATCATTAAGAGGTACCTTTTTCTGTCATCTTCTCATGAGCTTTTTCAGAAATTGCATGAAGTTCGATCTTTATTACCATTTTTTGTTTTACCATCATTTACAACTCACTCCTATTTCTAAGATTTACTTAAATTCATTTCCCTTTAACTACTCTTCTGTATTTCCATAGTCCTTAGATTTCTTAATTAGCTACTAGAAGAAAAAAATTATCAACATAAAATCTTTTATATTCCCCATCTTCTCATATTTGCAAGGCTACTTCCTTTTCCTTATTCAAAGCATTCCCCAAATTATTCCTCCAGGATTCATCAGTTCTTCCTGATTAATGAGAATATCTGCCCCCTTCAAGCATTAGCCTATATATCTCAAACATAAGAGTCTCAAAAATCTAAGAAACCCCACTCATATCCTGAATGCTTACTATCCAAACGAAATAACCAGTGAGGTTAGCCATATATGTATACAGGACTCAAGTAATAGCCAATGGTTTTCCAATGGCATTCCATTAAAACACACACAAGATTAAGACAAAAACTAAAATAAAATTCTTATTTTTCTAAATCTCTACAGTTTCTTTTTTTTATTATGGCAGTATGTGGTGTAGTTCAGGGACCTACATAAAAATGAGTGACGAAAAAGAATGATTTTATTAATCACAACATGACATTAACATGATATCCCATTAGAACTGAACCAGGATAAATAATGCTGTTATAAAATTTACATTTCCCACATACATTTCAAGGAAAATAGTACATAGTGGGGCTCTTTTAGGTCTTATAAACTGATTCCAGTAAACTTTTTAAAAATAGTAAACATCATTAACATATTCTCAAACTGTGCTAAGGAGGAGTTAGAAAGGCAGCTAGCTATAAAATCTGTAGTGATAACAACTGGCAGGGTTAGAACTGTTTTGGCAAGAATGTTAAGAACCACGTCTCTATTTTACCTTTTACAGCAGTGCACCTTTTTCATTGATAAGGCAACTGCTTGCTGAGGGCACCACAATGATTAGCAAGTTTCTTAAGTAACAGATGTTTGATTGATTAGGACTCAAATAAGCTTCCTTCCCCAATTTTGTCTCTTTTGGAGCAGAAATAAATAACTTTGTCTTCTGTAGGTAAGAAAGCTAATATTTTGAAATTCAGCTGCTATAATCTTCTAACTCATAATTAAAAAGGGAGATGAATTATTATTAGGGATAAGTCTTTGAAATTCTTCCAGTTTTTAAAAGACCAAGGCTTCTGAATAATTTCTCAAACCTACCTTTCCATTTTGGTCCATAACTTGATAAACATAATACATTAGATCTGTATTGTAATAATTTCTTCTATCAACTACATTTTGCCCCCAATCAGAGTGAGAGTTGTGGTTTCAAACCATTTCTACATATAAAGCATCTTTAAATTAGTTTCCTTTTCACTGAACTGAGATTCCCCCCTCCCCCACTTCTGTGCCTGTGAAGGTAATTTGAACACGCATATATACTTGCATATATACGTGTTTATATGTATACTTAAAGTAAGTTACTTTTACCATTAGAATAAACTAGACTACAGGGACAACTCTGTGAAGACAGTTTGGTCTTCCTCAGAAATCCTCTAGGTCGAAGAAGGCAGGTACAGTTCGCTGAAGGACGTGATGAGGCTGTAGTAAGTCTTTTCATCGTCTGTTAGTCCTGCATTGCCAGGTCTCACCACCACAGCTACGTGTACATCCGCTTCCTCAGCAGCACTGGCCTCTGTGAAAATCAAAATGCATATCAGAAACGTCAAAATATGACCTGATATTTGCTTCAAAGTAATGGGGGGGCATATGGGAATGTAAGAAACAGGTTTGGTCTTGATCTGGTAATTGCTGAAGCTGGAAGATGGGCATATGGGTGGTACTGTATTATTCTCTTTTACATAACTTTTATTTTTCCATAATAAAAACATTAATACATAATTGTACTTGACAGACTAGAATGGCAATGCATCCAGACTTCTGAGTTTTATTAAGTATGTGAATGCAGAAAGACAGAGCCATGTCCTCTCCACACCTTTCCTCCATTCCCTCCCACTAGTCCTAGAGAGAATTGAGCTGTTTCCCGAAGGGCAGCCTGTCAGGGAAAATAGCAATTAAGCAGATATAGGACAAATGGAATCCTAGGACCTAATCAGGCCCAAATACCTGCTCTCACAATCGGAGCCCGCATGTGTTATAACCCCTGACTAGACTGCCCATCTTTTTTGCCCGGCAAATTCCTAGTCTTTGGAATTCAACTCAAATATCTCATCTTCCAGAAGCATTAGTAGAGCATCCCGCATGCCCCTTCAACACCCTGTCAGCTCTATCACAACAGCATGAGTTGACATTTATTATCTGTTGTATCTCTCCCCAATAGACTGTGACCTATGGCCACATAGTGGGTAGAAATAAAAATAGTAAAATAAAACTAGGTAAATTAGATACTGCAGAAATATTTCTAAAACACCATGGGTTACATATCTTTCCATCTTGTTTCCATCTGAAAGATAATAGCTAATATATTAATTTAGCATCTACTAGGTAGGCACCTGGTACTATTCTAGGAACAGAGAACAAAACAAAGCTTCTGCCTTCGTGGAGTTCCCATTCTCATCTAAATCTTTACAACAACCCTGAGGTAGTTAACATTACTATCCCCATCCTACAGCCATGGAAACTGAGAGCTAGTGAGTGGTAGAGCTGAAGTATGAAATTGCTAATCTGATTCTGTGGTCTGTGGTTGTACCCTAGAACAACGGTCGAAGTTACAGCCTGTCACTTGTTTTTGTAAATATAATTTTATTGGACCACAGCCACACCGATTCATATGTGTATTATCTGTGGCTGCTTTTGCACTACAAGGACAGAGCTGAATAGCTGTGACAGAGACTGTGTCTCCTGCAAAGCCTAGAGTATGTACTACGTGGCCCTGGACAGAATAAGTCTGCCGACCCCTGGTCTACAGTGCCACTACTCTGAGTATGGTCCATGGACCAACAGTGAGGGAATCACCTGGAAGCTTGTTAAAGATGCAGAATCTCTGGTCCCCAAGATGAAACTACTGAATTAGAATCTGCAATTAACAAGTGATGCCTCTGCAAAGGGTGAGTTTTGATCAGCGATTTCAAGACTGAAAAGAGAGGAGACATTCTAGGAAGGAGGCACTTTAGGCAGACATAATACATGTGTAAATACTGGAAGAATGGAGCAAGTCAGTGTGGGAGACAGGACACAGGTCAGAGAGATGGGGCATACTTGGATAGACAGAGCAAAACTGGAGAAGAATCCGAAACACGTGGTATGAAGAATTTAGATTTGGTATTAAAAAACCTCAGTGGGCCCTGGCCAGGTGGCTCAATAGGTTGGAGTGTTGTCCTGTACACCAAAAGGGTGTGGGTTCGATTCCCAGTCAGGGCGCCTACAGAAGGCAACTAATCAATGTTTCTCTCTCTCTCCCCGCTTCCACTCTCTCTAAAATCAATAAAAACAAAACAAAGCATGTCCTCAAGTAAAGATTTAAAAAAACAAAAAAACACCTCAGTGATTTCTCAACCTCTGGAAAATAGTTGCAGCATCTCAATGCATGAAAGGGCAGTGGTGTTGAGAGAGATGGTACATTCCTAGAGAGAGAAGCAGGACACACTCTCTCTTCCTTCTACCCACCTCATGTGTCTATCTTCGGCTATTCCTGTGAAAGGGCTGTCACCTTCCCAGGGCAAAAAAGTATTAAACAATGCCCTCAGGCAGACTCTGCAGATGCCATTCATTCCAGCAGAAGAGGCAGCTGTCTCCTATTATTGGCCAGTTCCCGCCTGGATGCCTGGAGCAAGGCTTTCCTTCTAACCAGCAATCCAGGATCTCCACCAAGCTGAGCCTCCATGATCCACGAGCCACGAGCCACATGAGATCTGACACTAGCCTAGCTAATGACTGTCCCACATTCAGCGTCTCACCTGGATCACCACAGGGCAAGATTGTTCCTAAGCATCTATTTGCTCTAGTCATAGAATACTGAGACATTTAACCAATACTTGTTGACTTGAAACCCTGGACTGCTTTCCTCTAAAGGAAGAAGGTCTTTCAGTTCTCTCTTCTATGCCTGGGTATTATTTCAGAGATCGCTTAGTCTTCCACTCTGCCTTGGCAATGGAAGCCTGGGCACAGAGTACCAAAACACAGGATCAGAGATAACAGACAAGAGCGAGGCAGGCAGCCAGCTGCCTGGGGTCAGGAATAAAACCTCTTTGTGGAGGACTCAGAGGAACCAATTTCATTGGGAGGCCAACTTGGGGATCATCTCTAGTCTGTAAAAAGAACAGGAGTAACTTCTGGGACTGCAACCTAAGGAAAGGAAATGGCTTCAGAGAAAAAGAAAAAGCTGAAATTATAGATGTACTATGATGGCAACTAGACAAAAAAATGTGGCTAAAAACAAGACTATGAAGAAACTGTAAGTGATTTTAGGGCAGGGACTATAATTATTAATAGTAACCAAAATACAGGGGATAGGGCGAGGGTCTGGGGATCACAGAATGCTCAGGATAGGCTTTGTGGGGAGCTCCAGTCACAAAGCAGATCCCTAATTCTAAGTCTGCAAAAACTTACCATTCAAAATGCTAAGGAAATTAAATATAGGACAAACCACAGATTTTCATCTCCAACAGCCCCCTTTATGTGAATGATTAAAGAAAAGCAATTCACAGATTAAACCAGACAAACTCACCAGAACAAGGCCTGTCTCCTTTCCATAAGGAGCAAAATTATCATTCCTCACAGAAACTGCTATCGCATCCCTAACCTACATAGACAATAAAGCGACCTTACCACCCCACCGCTCTAAGCCTCCAAAAACCATCCAAGGAAGAGGGTATACTGTAGCTTTGACTCAGTAGGACATTAAAAGGTTTCTATACAGAAATATGATAGACAAACATTTACAGTTCCAAGTAGAGGCCATGTGAAATGCTTGTTGATGGTACATTTAAGCGGCCTGGCTACCTAGTTACACAATGAACCCTGAAGCAGTGTGTCCGTGCACCTGCCTGTCTCACCTTCAGGGCAGTCAGACATGCAGGTGTAAAGCTTCCCAAGATGTAGAAAAATGAGACATCAGTTTGTAGGAACCCTTAGACTCTGAAGCTGACCTAAGCCAGGACCTATGGGCTGATCCTCACTAAATACTGTCTACCTAGGTCAAAAATTCCAGTCTAGATTCACCAAGGTGGGAAAGTTAACAAAGGTAGTAACAATTACTGAATGTCTACTGTTTGTCAGGTGAAATTAAGCCTGTTTTAGCCCTCTTTCTTTGAAAAACATTATTATAACTTCTTGACGGCATTAGATGATCTATGCTGGTTAAGATTGTTTACAAAACCACTTAGCTAATTTGTCTTTGCCTGTTATATTCCCTAAACAACAGACATTCTTCCCTAAACAACAGACCAAAAGGTCATGGGTTAGCAGTAGAAAAAATACACACTACCACAGGTAAGACGCCTTTGCCAGCAGCCTGGATTTGCCCTATCTCTGAAAGTCCTAATGACTGAAGGTGACTTTGATTCTGCAACAATAGACAGAAGGCTGAAGGGAGGAATATTGCCGATAGGTGCTGAAGCTGTCTCCAGGGGGCCCAGGAGCCATGTGGAGCTGACTAGGCAAGAGAACACCCCCTGCCCTCGGCCTCTTTTCCCCAACCTCCTTCCCCAGCCTGAGACAGACAGGGTGCTGGAGCAGCTGTGCAGTACACAAAGCCCTTCTCTGGAGTAAACAGGGTGTGAAACTAACAATCCAAGCTGAGTGGAACATAAAGAACTACCCTCAAATACAAGTGCAATTATAAACACACCAAAAGTAGGTCCCCAGGGAGATGCACCACTCTAAGGAGAACAACCACGCAATCCAAGGCCAGGGTCAGGCCGGGGAGCGTGGGGGAGCCACACCAACCAGAGGCTTTCGGGTAAAAAGGCAGTGACCACCTTCCCCCAGCACCCTCACCTTTGCCTGCTGCCGCCTGTTTCCTTACTCGCTACTGTTTCCCTCTATAATTCTGTAGAGGACTCACAGTCTCACACAGACGCTTGAGCACATGTTTTATATTTGGTCAAAACCACTCTTGAAATCACTTAAATGGCCAATAAACAGTACATATTGTTTTGTGCATTCAATCCTCAATGTAATAATGCATCTACTAATGTACCATATAAAATAGAGGGACATGCTGGGTGAAAAAGATGCTATCTTTAAACAGGTGAATCGTGAGGGGTGCCTGGGAGACAGAGATGGTCCTAGGGAAGGCAGGGATGAGGCTCGCAATCACCAAGGGCAGTGTTCACCAACCGAATGACAAGGCAAAAAGCACTCAAACTACAGAGACCTCTTTCTCTCTTTATTTGGCTGAGTGTGTATATGTGATCTCACTGCTGTTAAATGTATTTGCTGCAGGCCCACTGTGACTTTATTCACCTTACCTAGCCATGCACCTACCGTAACATTCTTGCCTGCACGCTCATTCCCACAATGACACCCCTAAGTCATCCTTTGTTATTTTCCCATTTCACGTGTGTGTGTGTGTATGTGTGTGTATGTGTGTGTACAGAGAGATGGGTAGGGAACCATGGATACGGAGTTAAAATGAGAAGGCTTAGTCTTCCCAATGGCCACGTCCCCACACAACCCCCGAGGATGGGTAAGTGGGGAGGGAAGTGAGTTGGCTGGTTCACTGCTTCTTTTTGTTGTTTTTTGTTAATTCTCAACCGAGGACATTTTTTCCCACTGATTTTTTTTTTAAGAAAGAGCGGAAGGGAGGGAGGAGAGAGAGAAACATTAGTGCGAGAGAGACACATCGATTGGCTGCCTCCCACATGCGCCCAGACCAGGGCTGGGGACCGAACATGCAACCCAGGTATGTGCCCTTTCACCAGAAATCGAACCTGTGACGCTTGGGTCAGAGGGCCAATGCTCTAACCATTGAGATACACTGGCCAGGGCTCACTGCTTCTTTTTATAAAACTTTTACTTTTCAAGGGTCCACACATAAACTTCCTTTAGAGAGGCAATGTGTTTGCAGTGCCAGGCTCAGTTCCCATCAGTAAGAAGTCAGATTACTCACCCAGAGTAACGTCTGTGAGAAACAAGATGTTGTTGGTTGAGCACCCAATGCTGTTTGCAATCTTTCGATAACTCTCACTCTCCACTTTGTGTCCAATCCTTGTATCAAAGTGACCATCAACAAGCTGAATAAAGAAAAGGGAAAATACGCTATAAATACACTTGTAACTTGAACTCCTTTGTCTCTCATCCTTCATCTCTGAAATATACAATGATAGTGATTTCACTCAATATACAACTGAAAATCTACATAATAGAGAACTTTGTGAAGACTACAGAAAGTACATAAAGATTTTATAGCAATAAACATTCGAAAGGAAAAAACTACCAATTTGACATATATAAAATCATTTTACAATCTACTTGCTTTTCTTTAACATTAATTTTTCCTCAAAATCTTTTAAAATATATATGCCCTACTTTCTACCCTCAAAATACTATTTATACTCAAACTACTTACTGAAGTAGATTTCATGCCTGAAGAAAGATTCTGAACACTGTCCTCCAACCCCAGAATGAACAGATTTCTTTAACCTACCTCATTAATAAGTTGTTACTTCACTTTCAAGAAACTTTCAATTTTCTAATTAAAACATTTTGAAATTCTACCCAAGAGCTAGTTTATATCCTTGCCGCCTTAAAAATAATTGAGAACAAATGCTAATTTAACAAGCAGTGATTAAAATAAGTCCACATTAAGGATCAGCTTTTTTTAAATTCTCACCTGAGGATATTTTTTCCATTGCTTTTCAGAGAGAATGGAAGGGAGAGAGAAGCATCAATGTGAGAGAAACACACTGACTGGTTGCCTCCACATGCAAAGCGAGGGACTAAGCCTGCAAACGAGGTACGTGCTCTTGGCTGGAATCGAACCTGGGACCCTTCAGTCAGCAACCGACACTTTAACCACTGAGCCAAACCAGCTAGTGCAAGGATCAGCTTTTATAATGTGATCTTTTGAATATATACAGAAGTTTTCACAAACTAATAAACAAGCCTAACAATCACTCCAAGACAAATTAAGGTAATATTAATATGATTTTTTTTTTAACTTTTAAAAAGTTAAGATTGGTTTTGCATATTTTTTCTCTCAAGTCTGCCTCATTTAGTAACTGGAGAATAAAGTTTGTATTATTGAACTCAGTACGTATTATGTCCTGTTTTCACTTTGTGTTATACCAGAGAGAGCAGAAAAGAGGTTTACATCTGTATTCAGAGACAATAGTTACGAATAATTTTAAAAATTTATTACTGATTTAATTTTTGATTTAGAACATGAAAAGCAGAAAAGTACTAAAATAAGAATATGACAATTCTCAAAGCCAAAGTGTTTTCTGTATACAGCAGAAGTTCAAAATATTTATTTTAACAAAGAGTTGGATGAGTGACCTATTGTGTACCACTAAGTTCAGTGTGCACTAAGCTAGCATTTCTTTTTGAATCCCTAAATGTATTCTCTTCTTCCAATGACCACCCTGTTCTCCAGGGGGCATAAGGATGGCAGGACAGAGGCGCTAACAAGAATTTTTTCATGAACAAGAAATTTAACAGGTGGCCTTAACTTAAAATTAATTAATAATGTACCCAGTTCTCTTACACAAGAATGCTGGTTCTGTTCAAATAAAACCTGTATCTCTCCAAAGTACCGAAAACAACCAATCCATCTTGTACTCTGCTGCACTGAAGAAGTCTGTTTTGGTCCAGCTGGCATGGCTCAGCAGTTGAGCATCGATCTATGATCCAGGAGATTGCTGTTCGATTCCCAGTCAGGGTACATGACTGGGTTGCGGGCTCGATCCCCAGTGGGGTACATGCAGGAAGCAGCCGATCCTCTCACCATTGATGTTTCTCTCTCTCTCTCTCTGTCTCTCCCTCTCCCTTCCTCTCTTTGAAATGAATAAAGACATAAAAAAATAGTCCGTTTTGTTTTTGTTTTTTGGATAGTGGCATGTATCACTATTTTACCTGCTACTTTAAACAACCAAAAGAAACATGCCATTAGTTTCCTTTGGGTTAATGATTTCCTAATATTAGCAAGATAGCTGATTTACAAGCTAGCTCATATCTTGTTAGCTGTATTTTGCATATGGTTCTAGTATGATCATCAGAATCACTTAGGGTGAATGTTTGCTAAAATGCAGATTCCTGACTCCTCAGGCCTGCTGATTAAGATTTGCTAGGAAGCAGACCCCAGGGATCTACATTTTTAACAAACTCCCCAGGTGATCCTTATGCACAACAAAGTTTAAGAACTTCTGATGCAAAAACTGGTAATAGAAACATTTCACTCTTGCCTGTAATATATTCCCCAGTTTTCTCACTTCTCTTTACAAAGTGCTTAGCATATATAAATGTAATTATCTGAATGCTGATTTAGCTAATAACTGTAGCATATTCCTTTAACATTCATTATTTCATGCTTTGATAGTGTCAAAGATAAAGTAATCCGGTAACCTACCTCAAGAATATCTCCCTCTGTAGAATGCCCAAATAACAGCTTCTGTGCTTCTACACTCCCTGAAGAATAAATATATACCTTCATTCCAGCCTCTCTCCACTTCCTGACAGCTGGAACTACATCTTCGAAGAACCTAGAGGGAAAGCCAAATTAAAATGTAGGAACACATTATCTTGCCAGGTAAAAACCAGTCAAAATAGTTGTCACCAGTTTCTCTATTTGTGACCAAATGGTCACCATGAGAAGTGACTCCATGAGATCTAGTAAGAGTGTCAGCGGAGTTCCAGGATCACAGATCAGCAGCAACAATTTGGGTGGAGAGGATAGTTCTGACAGCCCCATTATTGACAGTCAAAAGTGATTACAGATAAAGGGATGAAATAAGAAGGTGACTTTTTAAATTCCCTCCCCAAAAAGCAAACCATAATATCGTACTTTTACATAACCTTTGATGTAATGCATGACAAGAAAAGGTTAAATTATGTCCAGTGTGCCTTAAGAAACCATGGGAATGCTTTTAGAAAGATCTGCACCCAAACAAAAGAAGAAATGTTTGGGGGCTCAAAGCTATTAATCTTTGATTAGCTAGAAAATGGAACTATATTTCTTTTCTTTTAAAAATATATCTTTATTGATTTCAGAGAGAGGAATGGAGAGGGAAAGAGAGAGATAGAAACATCAATGATGAGACAGTCATTGATCAAGCCCGCAACCCGGGCATGTGCCCTGACCGGGAGTTGAACCCCGACTGCCTGGATCCTAGGTCGACGCTCAACCGCTGAGCCACGCCCAGCCAGGCGGAACTATATTTCTTGAGAACTAAGAAGTTTTACTATACAGAAAAAAAAATGTAGCAAATCAGAAAAGAGACTTGTACAACCTCAAATTCACTGATCAGCGAACAGTGTCTGGTTGTCTGATTCCTGACATTGGCTTGTTTACTAATTCTACTGCATATTTAGTGGTGGAAACATCAAAGATGGGTGAAAAGAGAAGCACAAGGAAGCTGGGATGTGGAGCTGCTCATCCTTAAAAGATTAACTGAAAAGTGTCAGAGAGGTCTTCTACTGGATAAAACAGCTTAATATGTTGCACTAATTGAACAAAAGAGATCCACTAGTTCAAAACCAGCACACATAACTGTGAGTTACTTTGTGTGCTACTTTGCACTCATGGACAGAGGATTTTTCCATGTTGAATATGCAGGTTGTTACTGCTCCAAAACAGGGCTTAGAAGTCTATGATAACTTATTTCAAATCCCTGGTTTTATAATTGAGGAACTAAGACCAAGAGAAAGATGGGTTAAGTACTTTGAACATAGTCTCATGGCTCCACTCTTCTGAGGGCTGTACAAAGCAATCTAGCTGATATTCCTAGATCATTGGCGTATCCTGAAATTCCAATGCATCCTTTAAAAGGTGGAAGCCCCTCCCCAGCTAGGGCACATGCCCAGGTTTTGGGCTTGATCCCCAGTGGGGAGGGGGCAGCTGATCAATGATTCTCTCTTATCATTGATGTCTCTACCTCTCTCCCTCTCCCTTCCTCTCTCTGAAATCAATAAAAACATATTAAAAAACAAACAAATAAATAAATAAAAGGTGGAAGCCCCTTGTAAAGTATATAAAGGAATGGCATCTCATTTGCAAAAAACAAACGAAACATAAGCAGCTGGAAATAGTCTTGGATATTACGGTTTACATCAGGCAACAGCCTAAAATCCTTAGTGGCAGTGTCTTATTAAGAATTTCTTAGCATCCCATCAGTGTGGCTCAACTGGTTGAGTGTTATCCATGAACCAGGAGGTCACCGTTTGATTCTGGTCAGGGCACATGCCTGGGTTGCAGGCTCAATCCCCAGTAGGGGGAGTGCAGGAGGCAGTGGATTGATGTTTCTCTCTCTCTCCCCCTGAAATTAATAAAAACATTAAAAAAAAAAAGACTTTCTTAGCAACACAGGACTCGTGAATCTCCTTCTGCAGGAATGCTCTCAGGAACTCCACAACTAAGACAAAGGGACAGTAGAAATTATTCAAAAAGGACACAGAAAAGAGTGGCAATGCTGACACTCATACCCCCAAAGTAACGGGGTGCATAATTTTATCGAGTTCTTACTTCTCTAACAGAAAAGAAAACAGGTAACCTAGTGGTCCTGGGAAGCAGCCCAACAGTGCTGTTACTCTTATGCAAAGGATCGAATATGACTTAGTTCAAGAAAGTTACCATTTTCTAGGAAGCTGTTTTCAAATTGGGATTAAAAGTCCATCAACCATACCACAAAGGCAAACATCACGTTTGGGAAATTGAGCTGGGGGAAGTGCTTTATCCCAGCTTTGAAAAAACAAAACACTCACTTGTTAGACTAAAAAGAATGTTGATTTTATCTGTTTTACTAATCATGCAACACTGGGGAAGAGTAGTGGAAGAGGTATTTGGTTCGGGACTGGTGAAACATTCAAAGTCAACGAGCAGCTACATACTCCGCTTTCACACGTCCCGCTGTGAACGCTGCCCTCCACATGTGGCCCTGCAGCTGTTTCAGGGCTGTGGTCTTTCGGTCTAGAGACATCTGCCAGCACACGTTATCGACCACGGCCTGGATCGTCTGCTGCAGGTCATCTGCCCCATTCTCAGATGCAGCAGGGATCGGAACAGCCCCATCCAGGTGGGAGTCCTCTTCAGCCTTCAAGTCATAAACAACATGAGGTTTGTTTCTTACTTTATTTAAAGAAGAGTCCTTAATATGATACCTGAAAATCAAGCTGAATAACTTTCTCCAACTATCATTAGCACCAAGCACGGTTACAAATTAAAAGTATCCTACAATTTGGGGCTGATACAGATGATTCCTAAAAGAAATGGATTAAAATTAATACTTTTCATTACCTTTCCTATATTGCTAAAGCTGAAATTTAAACTGAGAGGCACGTATGCGAGAAGAGAGGTAACACATGATAAAATGACAGAGTAAGACCTGGTTTGTTGATTCGCTTACTAGGATCAACAAACCAGGAATTCCATTAAATCTGATGATTTTCTCTGCACTATAACTGAGGAAAAAACAAAGAAAACCTTTAAAATTAGTTCATGCCTGGAATTCAGTGAAAAAAAGCTAGTGAAGTAATGTCTTGGGTTGGTTCACATTCAGTCTCCTGCCATCTCCCACCTCTTGCAAAAACTCTAACAGCTACTTGGAACAATGACTATGTGACAACACCTAGGCCTGACCTCTAAAGACTGAATGACATATATCCTACTGTCAGGGAATATGTATGCATGTTTCAACAAGAACTGAGGCAACAAAAAGGGTAAGGGAGGGGAGTGTTTCAGACTAACTAATGTTAGTTATCTAAAAAAATCCAACAAACCCAAATACTCATGCCCCAAAGGATATTTCCAGTTCTAACTCCTAACTAATAATTTCAGAGAGCATTCCACATTGTCCAATGTAGAAAATTAACTAGAAAATAACTGCCACAGAGTTAGCTCTGCACAACATGTAAGATCTTTGCCACTGAAGCAACTTTAATAAGAAAAACAACAAAACGAGTTCCACAGCACACGATGTGTAAGAGGAAAATAAAGACTGAAAACTGGGCGCAGAACAGAGCTCATGACACTCGGGGGGGTATGAGGGCTGGGCCATACCCTCATAGTGTAAGCTGGGGTAAGAGGTCTGGAGGCGGTGTGTGGATGTGAGGGCCCAGGAGCACTGTGCAGGGCTCAGCAGGGGCTCATGCCAGGAGGCAGATGAGAGTGAAGAATGAGGTGATGAGGTGCTGTCACTTGGAGACATTAATGAAAAATGTGAAGACAGCACAAAACCTTTTGTATTCCACCCAGAAAGGGCTTGAGCATGAGTCTCTAAGCATCCTTATTTCTAAGACTCTTGGGAATGTGGAAGCAATGGAAGAGAAATGTCCCAACCTGTTTCCTCAAAAGAGTGACATCCTGCTGGCACTCCTCTTCTTCCCAATGTGTCTGCAAATACTCTTTAACATTTTCTTTGATGTAAGGAAATAAAATGTCCTGGTAAAAGAGTAAAAGAAACAAACAAGAATTAGCTTTAGTCATTTGCATGAGATCAAGTTCTTCAACAATCTCACCTATAATTATAGAAAATAAGCCACTGAATATATGAAAATTGCAGCTGTGTGCCCAGCCGGGCATGGCTCAGCGGTTGAGCGTCGACCTGGGATCCAGGCGATTGGGGTTCGATTCCTGGTCGGGGCACATGCCCGGGTTGCGGGCTCGATCAATGGCTCTCTCATCATTGATGTTTCTATCTCTCTCTCCCCCTCTCTGAAATCAATAGATATATATTTTTTTTGCAGCTGTGGATATATGAGAGAGACAGAGACCAAGAAATAAATGAATGGGTCAATAATCAGTAAACTAAAAAAAAAAAAAAAAAAAA